GCTTATTCTTCATACTGTTCTCCATACATTTCCAGTGGTGCTGTCAGGGAGAATTTGTTTAACAATATGAGCTTCTCTTTTGGGTGATCATTTCCCTTATTCTCATGACCTAAATGTTTGATTTAACAGTGGATACTGTAAGGAGAAATAAGATGCAATCACTCTTAAAGGTTAAAGGGTTTAACTTTATCACATTTCTGTGAAGATAACTTATTGCATAAGCACAATTACTTTTAGCATGATTTGCAGTGAACATTGTTTTTGGTTTTGCAATTATCAGATTAACCCTCCATACTATGTACCATTGGTAGAAGTTGTTCCAGCACCTTGGACAGACAGTAAAATAACAAACCAGACAGTTGCTCTAATGAAACAGATTGGCCAGTCACCTGTTGTAACCAAGAAAGAAGTGAATGGATTTGTTTTGAATCGTCTACAGTATGCTGTCATCATGGAGTCTTGGAGATTGGTAGAGGTAACAGGAAGTTTTGCATGGGGGATGGGCAGGTGATGGATGTTTGAGGGGGGTGGGGATTAGCTGGAAGTAGCACAGTGCCTGTTGTAGAGAGATTATTGTTAGTAGGTAGTCAAAAATCCACAAACAAGATTAGTGTACTGCTGATCAAATTGGCTAGGTTAATTTGTGGTGGTTCTCGATTTGTGATAGACTTTCTCTTGTAGTGATGTGACTGGCTTAAGGATGACAATAACATAGAAATTACCTTTAATTGGTTTGTTACCCCCAAGCACTTTTGTGTGCAATCAGTGTTTTAGTTCACCATATGTTAGAGTAGTTGTAAAAATGAGGATGGGAAGTTATTCCAGATTGCACTGGTCTTGCTTTCCTTTTCAAGGAAGCAGCGTACCAAGTGGTAATTTAGTTGGAACAACGTCAGAGCCATAAACTTTTAGGCCTGATTATTTGAACCAAAGTTTTGTTTAGCAAAAGTGCGTCTTAAACATTCCTCAATGTAGCTGGACCTTTTATCTGAACATTTTATTTTGTAAACAGCGTCAAGAAAGCCAAAAGCTGATCGTGGAAGGACATTTATTTCATTAAAATCACCCCTCTCAAATAGAAAGCCTGAGGCCCACTGATTGCATAAAAACGTGGTTTGGATAAGGCATCGAGTTAAAAACTGGCCCTTACTATTCTTTCAATAAAGCAAATCCGTCTTTTTCACTTGCATTTTCCTGGGGTCGACGCTGATTCTCTGTCCTCACTTTGCCTGAGTTTACAGTAGATTTATTGTTTCGTCGAAATAAGTACGTTCCCACTTCAGTCTATAATGGTATTAAGCAATTCAAATTTCTAAAGTGATGTATGGTAACCTTACGGAGAGACATGATAGCATGTTTCAAGTAAATTGATATTTTTTTCTTTTTCTGAGGATGGCATTTGTTCGCCTGAAGATATCGAGACCGCAGTGACAGAAGGTCTTGGACTGCGTTACGCTATGATTGGCCCATTTGAAACCATGCATCTAAATGCCAATGGTATGTTATTATTCAGAGGTTATAAAACTTTTATTTTTCCCTACGTTCATGTCGACTGAGTTGGGATGGGTGGTAGAGAGGGGTGGGGAAATATTTGTCTCGAAGCCCTTATTCTTTCGGCTTGTATCTCGAAAGCTATTTCTGGCCTTTCCAATGTCCTCGCGTACGACCCTCGTACGTGTATTTTTTATTATTATTTTTTTTTAAAGACACGGCCTTGGCGTTACTTCTTTACTGTCTATTGGTTTTGTAGGAAATTCATGCAACTTTCTCAACTAACCAGATAAAGTAGAAAAACCAATCGCGACTTGTTCATTCACAGTTGTAACAACGCGAAAGAAAGAATGATTTGAGAGACCCATCTGGCATTTAAATCTTACGTGACGTGTTCATTTGTTAGGAATCAGAGATTACTGTGAAAGATACGGAGAAAATATTGTGCGTGTTTGCGAAGAAGAAGGAGGACCGCGGAAAATAGCTGGTGATACGTTGGACAAGATTGAAAAGGTGTTTAATGAAAGCATTCCTTTAGATCAACTAAATGAAAGAAGGAATTTACGAGACAAGAGACTAGCAGCACTGGCTCAGCACAAACATCAAGAGAAAAGTGAGAGCGGTGCCATGTGACGCTTCTAGACCTGACTAGCGTTACAAAATCAGAATTTTTCTTGTCAAGCAAACTACTTTCCTGAAAATCGTTCTTCCTGAAGTTGGAATGATTTTATTCAATAGCCGAGATTTTTTTTAAGTGATTCTATTTTCCTTTTTCGCGACCTGTCATTGTTTGAGATTCACAATGATTTATGAAAAACTCATAAATCGAATTAGTGCTTAGGGTACTTTGTGCATTTTGTAATGATAAGTCGATTTTGTTTTACCGATATGGGGAGGGTCACTGAGTCGTCTCGGACAGAATTATTTACGAAAAGCTGTTAGAAAAATGAAAAGTTTTAACAATGATTATTGTTGCGAAATCCCATCCTTTCTTTCCAACTTCTTTGCTCACATTTGCGCACGCTAAGATCGTCAGCTTAGCTTGCATGGCATTACAGTGCATAGCAAAGAACGTAATGCAGTTTGTTCAAAAACCTACTTTTCCTTTCGTCATTGGCTGGGGTGGACTAGGTAAAAAACACACATGGGAAGGAATTAAAGATCGCACCGTGAAAGAAAGGGAAAAAAGGAAAAGGAAATGAAAAGAAAGCAAATATAAAGAAAACATTTACTGTGCTTTCGGCACACTAAATTTTTAGGGAACAGCCTTTTTTGAGTAACTATAAAATGTAACTAGCTACCTCTAATTAATAATTTAAAGTGGATTTAACTAATTTAGTATCGCGAAATCGTGCTTTAACTTACTTTTTGTCTGTCTATTTTTGGATGAATGGATGTTTATAAGTACATACGAATAAAGCGTTTAATTGCTATTTCATTTTAACCATTAGCGTTTGTGTGAAATTTAGTGACTTGTAAAGTAAGATGATACAGTAATCAAACCGAGATGTTGATTCTGGGATTGACTTATTTCAACAATGGTTGATTTTTCCACCAATTATAACGGAAGTTTCGTAGGCGAAAGCGGCCCAATAATTGTGAAAGAGTTGTCCGTAAAATCGAGCTCGCTACTTACGAGAATGGTTCTCGTTAACCACAACCATAAACAAAAAAAAAGTGTTGACTTATTATTAATGACAACGCAGTATTCAGGAATATTTTACCAATTTTAGCCCTGATACCCTCACTTTCAACCCCTCTCTCCTTGTGCTATGTTGCACCTGGTTTTTCGATCCGTGATTGCACGATATTGAGTGGAAGAAGGAGTGAGCTGCACTTGAATTCAAGTTTTTATTTCTTAATACCTCTCTAAATGTGGCGGCACGAATGTTACGTGTCGACTAATTTTGTCGCTGATTTTAGTTCGCAAAGGAGGGGAAGTGCAAAGTAGACGAGAACATCGAGCCAAGGGCGGGACAGGGGAGGTTCACACTCACTTCGTACTTTCTCCTGTTGGTCTGAAGCGAAGGAAGTGCGAAGGGCGCCGCATACGCGAGTAAGAGCGCAAGAAGAACTTTTCCACCCACATGTCTATCCCCTTAATAAGCTCGCCTCGCACTTTTCTCTGCTCGTCTCGGTGAAATGCGTATCTTGCCCTAGCCTCGCCCCGAAGGTGAGGCACGAACCGATCGCTGGGGAAGGGGAAGAGGTCCCAAGAATATCATCTCCTCGCGTCTCACCGATCATGCTCGCAACCTGCTCGATGTGAAGTTAATTGATTCAAATTAGTTACTAGTTTCATATATTGGTATATTTTTCTCCAGTAGTCCCGTGGAATTTCAAAACCAAAGGAAACTTCTAAATCTTAACCTTGAAAAGTAAGTGCCCTGTCCACAGCTCCCTGATTAAAAATGTGCTGGTGTTAATTTCATCGTGAAAGCGGTCGTAAGAAGGGCTGCTTGTATCCATAAGAGAGCATCAAGTGATTTTTTTCCGCTGGTGTCTTTTTTGAATGAAACCACAAGTGTATAACCTTCAATAATGACAGCCCAATATTTCGAGTTACTTAAGCCTTGTTTGTTATTTAATCTAGGTCTTCTATCAGTTTAAGCTGGACGGCTTTGTCGATCTTTTTATATCCTAGAAAAAGTATCCTGATTTTTCCGTATCATTCTAATCTATCCCGGTACCACTCCCGTCTGCATTTTTTGCCACAATTGTCATATATTAATCGTTCTATTTTTCTACATTGCAAATTTCATTTTTTTTATTTTCGCTTTCCAACAGGAGGTTTCCTTCTTTACGCTCAATTCGCTTTTCGAGGGCATTTTCCCGAACCCTTTTCCCAGATTCTACATTAAGGACTTTCACTTTTTCATTTTCATTCACTCGCCTTCCCCATCGTTAAACAATATTTTTGCACAGCGGATTGAGCAACTATGTAAATGTTTCGATTTTCACTGTTTTGTTGCTGGATGAAGGAGCCAAGTTCAGGAAAGGCATAAAACGAGGGAAGATTCAAAATTTGCTTCAATCTTAAGGTTTTTGTGTGAGTATTTTTGCTTTTAAGGTAAAGGTGTTAGGGTAAAATCAAGCTTACTGAGTGAAAGCGGATTGTGGAAGTGCTTTCTGTAAATCAAGCTTCGGGCAAGATTTCAGTGCTGCTTCGAAGATTTCGTTTTTCAGAATACTTATATCATTCGTTTCAAAAACTGGTTGTTCTTATCGCGATGCACTTTCCATGTAAATATAAAATCGATTTAGGAGAAACCGTAACAAAATACCTCGTAACTGACTGTAAATATATGAAAATCATATGCGTAAATTGCAAATAAAGAAATGAATATGAAAGCGATCTTCGCAGTTATGAACACTACTGGCCATTAATGACCAGCTCCTGGTTTGCTTGTTAGCTCAGTTGTTAGAGCGCTGCATCGTTATCGCAAAGGTCATCCCGTACAGGCCTGAATTTCTTTTTCGGGCGTTATTTTCACTACTGCGTAAGTAGTCTTCATAACTGCGAAGGTAGCTTCCATATTCAAAATACCTGATGTAATCATGAATCTCATAGGAGTTTTAATTTTTGTGGTATTCCTTCTTGTTAATTGGTTATCGATGGTTTGATTTATGTATCGCTGAGAATTCTCAAGATAAATTCTTGTCATCACAAAACGTTTCACCCGAGCACAGGGAGCAGAAGAATAGAAATTTATTGTTCTTTTCTCATAAGTTAACCGTGTAATTGTAGCGTGACTCGATTTTGTTGATTGATCTATGATACATGCGATTCTAATACGGGGTTGTTGAAACCCTGTCTGCAGCAATGGTCGGCTAGAAAAACCCTTCCGCTCGAGGCATGTTCGGAAAGCGAAGATTTTCCTGCGAATCACGAAGTGCCCTCTCTCTGACTAACGCTAATCCCTCGGTAAGTACTGTTTGCGGTTTTCGTTTCGTGAATATAATTAAACACGCAATCGTATGTTTCAACGGTAAATCAACCTTATCAAATTTTCTGCAATTGTACAGTTTTATTTGAATGGAAATCCAGTTAACTCAACTCCCCTTCTCCCTGTAATCTGAGCGTTTGGTGGAGATTTTTTCTACGCCTTTGTATCGCAATCTCCATCTCCATCTGGGCATTCCCGAGTTCAAAAATCCACCAATTTGGAAATGATGTTTTGTGTAAAGCTTTTCTTGTTAAAATGGGTTTTATTTGCATGGAATAAAAATAAGTTTCGTTTAAAGGCCTCGCGCTTACCTCGTTTTCAAGGAGAGGCAATTGGCATCTCGCAATTTTTCAAACTCTGGTGATTACTCGCCTGCTAATGAGTAGCATGTAAGGGCATAAATACAATGAAGAAAGCAAATTGCTTTGTGAACCCACAGCAAGTAATCAAGTTAAGAGCATTTTTGGCGAAAAGTTTAGCATGAAGCACTTGTCAGTTTGGTAATGTTTTTTATTTCATTCACCATAATACCCTAATACTCAGGCTACTTTTGTGCTAAAAAATATATTAGCGCCACACCGGGTATAACTACCAACTAGTCTTCAATCGACTACGGCCACGGGGTCCCGAGAGACTAGCTCTACCGCGACGAAGGGGACGATGGGAATTTTACTCTTTCCCATCTTCCCCACGCTTCCCACGTTGCTTAAGATTAGAGAGACGACCAAGGACGAGTGAGGCATATCAGTCTCTGGATTATCGTATGACGTCTTAACACGGTCTTGTTTTGTTTACTCAGAGCTCGGGTGTAAACCATGGAGAAAGAACATATCTTGAAAGATGTCTTGAAAGCCGTAGACATGTGTGTATCCGTGGGACTTTACTTTGCGAACATTCACCATGATCACGCAGCAAGAGAATTTTACAAGGAGTCGACGACGCTGTTAGAGTTCATCGAAGAATCCTTACACCAAAAAAATGCACCACGAAAGGTAATGGATCAAATAAATGTTAAACTGACACTCCATTGGAATAATTTTATACGTGAAGCACACTGACAAAGCATTCCTAAGTGAATATATGGCCTTTTGCTTCCTCTGTGCGACCCAATATTAGCTTTCCTACTGCAACTTAGAATCACTCCGAAATTTCAACTAAATTAACATCGCCCAACTTTTTAGCCTGTAGTGATCACACACTGAATAATTGTAGAGCGCCTTATCACGGCTTTCTCGTTATTCCTCAGAGCGCAGCGTTTAAAAAGGACGAAGTAGATGTCTGCAAAGCTGCGGATAAAACAGTGGCGTGTTACTCTGAAAACAGCCATCGCAGCCAAGCAGCCTCAGAATTCTATAAAGAATGGTTGAACCTGTTGAGATCGGTCCAAAAGTCCTTCAGTTTAATATCAGAAGCAATACCTGAAGTAATACGAAAGACTTTGTTGGGCCCGAGAAATGAAGAACCACGAAAGGTAATAGATCACATGACAATGCTAGTACATCTTGCCCTCGCTGAGAGCGAATCGTGCCTTGGTAACCACTTGGAGTCAAAAATAAATGCTGAACTTGCTTTTGCAATTGTCTTAAATCACGAAAATGCCAGAAAAGATATAGCTCGAGCGTGTTACAGAATATTTTGGAAGTGTTTTATGAGTGTTGAGCGATATGACCAAAAGATTGAATGTCTCATGAAAATGCTTGCAATTACCAAGGAAACTGGTGACACGGTAAAAGAAGCAGAGGTCTATTTCCAGCTAGGATTATGTTATTCCTTCGTAGGTCAAAAAGAACAGGCAGTAGAGTTTGTTGAGAAATCAATACAGATACGTCAGATCGATGGACACCAGGGGAGACTAGTTGATTGTTTAAACCTACTGGCAAATAATGTGCTTTCGTCAGGCCAGCAAAACGAGGCATTCGAGAGACTGCAGGAAGCCCTTCGAGTTAGCGAAGAGATTGAAGGGGGAATGATTAAATCTATAGTGCTCATAGCATTGGGACATGCTTATAAAGATATTGGTCAATACGATAAAGCAAAGGAATATTACCAGAAAGTGATTCGAGTCAGTAAGGAGTTTCATTTCCCAGACTTAGGAACATGGGCCTACTATCACAACGCTGAACTTCTCATTGAACTTCAACAATATGAGGAATCCATGAAGAGCATAGAGAAAGCCCTTGAACTATGTGAAGAAGGCAATTTAGCAAAGCAGACCACACTCTCTAAAGGCGACATTTACATCACATTCTGTAAGATACACCTACTGCTTGGCCAACACGATAAAGCTGACGAATGTGTAAAGCAAATATTAACGGAAGATTGGCCCAAAAATAACTTGGATCGGTCTGTAAGCCTCTTTCAGTTAGGTTCCTTTTTCAGTGTAAATGGGAAATTGGAACAGGCATGTGACATTATTTCTGAAAGTATCAAATGCTATGAAAGTGGGCGTGGCCTTTTCAATGATGAGTTCAAACTTTCTGCCGGGGACATGGAACAACACTTTGAATTGTACAGGAATCATTGCCTCTTGCTTATGGCTCTGGGTAAGCCCATCCAAGCTTTGTGTACAGCAGAAAGAGGCCGTGCCCGCCTATTGGCGGAACTGTTAGCAGAGAAATATGCCATTCGAGAAGAGGCAGAGCTAAGTGAAAATGACCTCAATATACTTCTAAAGCGTCTGAATGATAATCAAATTTTAGTATTTATCGCCACTCCAAGAGGTAAAAGAATCACGTTCTGGATAATGAAGAATGATGCCACATTGGAGATGAGGAATCCAAAAGGGGCCAATCAAGATTCTCCCCTGAAGACTTATATCGAGTCATTTTCTTACGGCCGAAGCATTAACTGTGAGGACCGTTCATTGTCAGCTTTGTATCAGTATGCTGCTGATGATACCCAGCACGACGGAGTCAGGGGGAAACGTCTCCTTGAGGAGACAGACGACGAGGACCTTGAGGCTGAAAACTTACCAAATCAACTGTACAAGTCACTCATCGCTCCATTTGCTGATCGAATTCAGGGCCGAGAGCTTGTACTTGTTCCCGAGGGATCTATGGTCATGGTTCCATTTACCGCACTTCAAGACGATTCTGGAAAGTACCTGTCTGAGTCGTGCAGTATTCGCATCATTCCTTCGTTGTCAACACTTAAGTTGATTCTTGACTCCCCAGAGAATTATCACAGCCGGAATGGAGCGCTGATCGTTGGCGACCCACAAGTAAGTCATATCACACCACTTCCGCAATTGAAAGCAGCTAGGCAGGAAGCTAAAGAAATTGCTGATCTTCTGGAGGTGGAGCCTTTGTTGGGTGAGCAAGCAACGAAGGAAGAAGTGCTGCGACGAATAACTGATGTGTGTCTGGTACACATCGCCGCCCATGGTGACGCGGAAAGAGGGGAGATTGCTTGTGCACACAACCCATCCTCCCCTCAAAACCCAACGAAGGAAGATTACATGCTGACTATGGGAGACATCGCCAAGGTTCGGATCCGGGCCAAGCTTGTTGTACTAAGCTGTTGTCACAGTGCTAAAGGAAAGATCATGAAAGCCGAGGGAGTTGTGGGGATCGCTCGAGCCTTCATTGCTTCAGGAGCTCGTTCAGTGCTGGTTTCCCTGTGGGCCGTGGATGACAAATCCACAAAGGAGTTCATGATTCGTTTCTACGGACATCTGAAGTGTGACAAAATGAGTGTCAGTGAAGCTCTTCATCAGACCATGAAGCGGATGAGAGAATCTGAGACGACAAGGTACACGGTGAGGGAATGGGCCCCATTCGTTCTGATTGGAGATGACGTCAATCTGGACTTATAAACCCTTTGTTATAAGTGAGGTGCAGTAAAACAAGAACACTGAAGGGAGAACTGTATCACTTTGCTAACATTATAAATACCTTCACCTTTCTTAAGCTATTTTTGTTTTCAGTTATTGGTAGCTTTTTTTACAAAATTCTATAGAATTGTTAAAGAACTGTTTTGGATATAATAGGATCATTTGTCGTAAAGCGAGTTGAAATTATTTGTCAAGCTAAAGCCTCTTATATAGCTTTTTAAGTGGTTTTTCGGAACTACGGCGAATAATTTTGTTTTTCATATAAACAATAGTTTGATGAAGTTTCCAAATTTTTGCTACAAAATTAGAGTCATTGCTTTTTAAACAAATTCACATAGTCGCCATAATATTGCGATAAACTTAAGGTTATTGATAACCTCAATAGACACATTGTCCTTTCCTTTTACTTAACAGAAAACGAAGAAAAATGTAAACCGCTTCGAAATCGTATCGACTGTCCTTTCTTCTGAGGAACTTTAAGTGTTTTCAATGTACTTCAACTTATCGTTCTGTAGAAATCGCAGTAGAGCTTCAGTTGGTTGGCTCTGATTGATCTAAGATTGCGGCTACTTTTTTCCGCAAAGAGTAATTCTTTGCTCGTTTGTCCCCTCAGCTAGCTAAGAAATAACTGCCCTATTCCGCATTATTTAAGCCTTTTTCCACATGAGACTTTACGGGAGAATAAGACAAAGGGTCTTTATAAACGTATGGTTTTCAAATGGAAATGGCATTGCCATTCGATGTTTTCAAACATCATTACTTGTTTATGTTTCGTAACAGTTTTAATATCAACAGGCACGTCGCCTTTTTTGACATGATGACAGACAGCAGGAACTATCACTTACGGAGAATGAGCACATCATGCGAACAAACAAAGACGTAAATAACCACATGTCCTCTCGAGCCTTTCCTGACGTAGAAAATTTCTTTTTCGTTTGAAATAAACGATCATTTCAATTGATTGCTTTAGTCTGATCAAAACTGAGCGCAGCGAAATTTGTACAAGGATCGTATGTCTGCTCACTCTATCAACGATATCCGCCGTGCGTATTCCACTGCTCTCGTTCTTAGTACACGTGTCTTTGTGTTGTGGAGAGCCAATTCAGAGATCTATCTTGCAGAACTGTCACCAAGGAACGAAGACTTAACCTACTCTCTCTTCTAAACTATTCTCTTCATTCTGCATTTGCTATTCTTAAGGCCTTTTTCATGTTCTATTTTTCCACCACAATATTTCATTTCCTAATTTCTGCTTTCGAACAAGAATTTATTTCCTTAAGTCCTATTCGCTTTCCAAAGCCTGTTTTTTTCGATCCTCTGTCCTTGATCTCACATTTCCTAATTCATATAATGACTCATTGGTACTTCACTTTTTGTTTAAAAATTTGTGAAACATAATGTCTTTGTCCAGCGGAAAAACATATTAAGAAGGAAAGTAGCATACATCTTCATTTAGGATCGCAGAGATCGACGACGCCTCTAAGACGATCGTTCTTACTCAGTTTTAGCGCAGGATGATAGAACACTTGACGAAAAGGACATGAAAAGCGAAGGAGGGTTCTAAAGTTGCTTGAGTTCAGAGGTTTGTGCATAACTATTTTTGATTGAAAGTTCATGCTTTCAAGGTGAAAATCAAGATGACTCCGTGCATGCACTAGTCAAAGCAAGCTGAGACGGAATTGTTTCGTTGTTCATGATTTCAGCTTCGGGCAAGATTTCCTTATAGCCCTTAATTCAGTCCATACGTACATTTATTCGTGAAAGAAAAAAATAGAGGAAAAAGTTAACCTACGACACTTTGCTTTTAGATGGAAACTCTTTTGAAACGAGCAAAAACCCAGAAGGCTAAATGAAAATTTACGGCAAATTGACAGCTGATGGCGATCTCTAAATTTCTTTCGTTTTCCAAAGCACTTACTTCAATGCCGTTTTGAAAACTTAATTGTTCTTGAAACTGACTGTGTAATTTCATTGTCAATGTAAAATCAAGAAGGGAGATGTAATGAAATACCTGCTTTTTTCGGAGATCGTATGAGTGTTACCATTTACACCCGAACATCAGTATACATATTGGGTTCGCTTGTGAAGACAAATATTTAAAGAGACAAATATTGTTCAATGATTCAATTTTTTTTTTAACTTCGACCTCGTAATCCAATTTTTCGTCCCCCATGACTAAAGTACTCTGGGGGCTAGGGTGGGATAGCTGTCTACCCCTTACATACACATTCTCCAAACTGTTCTCTATACATTTCCTAAGGTGCTGCCAAGGTGAATTTGTTTTATAATTAAGAGCTTACTTAGTTGGTGTTCGTTTTCTTTATGCTCGTGACTTAGGGGTGGTAGGAGTGTTTCGCAAACATGAAAGCCTTCAATAGTAATATTTATGCACTGGTGTGCAACGATTTAAGCGTTGTCAAAATACATCTGATGGTGATATGTATGTTGGTAGGGATGCATGATTATCACACGTGAGTCATTCAGGCAAGCAGAAGTGAGGATGTGCTTCAACCTGCCTGCTAGGTAGTTGGGTGGAGGCAATAATTGAATTGAAATACGGGAGATCGTAAGTTTTGAGTTCGGTAAAGAAATAGAACCACTGAGCCACAGAGACTCCACGGTGAGCGTGGTCTATTACGAAGTTCATATGACACGCGTCCTACCGAGCTCAAAACTTACCATCTCTCGTATTTCTATCTACAAACATTACGCTTTCGACATTGCTGATCCTAGCAGTATGCAGGACACGTGTCATATGAACTTCGTAATAGACCTCGCTCACCGTGGAGTCTCTGTGGCTCAGTTTTTAGAGCATCGGAGCGCGGAATCCGAAGGTCTGAGGTTCGATTCTTCGTGGGGACTCAGAATTTTTTCTTTGTCCCACGCTTGACAAGACGAAAAAACATCTTTCTTCAATAATTGAATTGCTTACATTTTTCAATTGTTGTGGAGATGGTTAAACAAAGTCAAACCTGTATTAAGTGGCACCATATTTAGCAGTCACCCTGTATTAAGCGGTCAGTTGTCAAACTCCTGAATTTGTTTGCCCTTAAGAACTATAATTTTCATCTCTATTAAGCGGTCACACCTATTGAGCGGTCGCAGTCACCCTTTACAAAGTCTGAATGACCTGTTTTTATTGTCTTTCTCCTGTATTGAACGGTCACTGAAAGTAGGACCACTCAAACAAAATTAGGAAAAAAATCTTTAAATAAGTGTTGATCACTTTTTCTCTCCTCAAATCAAAGTAAGTGGTATTTTCGAGCGAAATTCTGTACGTTATGTGCTCAATTATGGCATAAAGTGGCTTTATTTATACTTTTTATAATACCCTTTATCTGGAGAAACTGTATTTACAAGTAAACCCGCATTAGACGGTCACCCCGCCATTCCACGTTTATGACTGCTTAATACAGTTTCGACAGTATGGAGTTTCTCATGAAGGCTTTACTTAACTCACTCAGAGAACGCCGTTAAATATGACCAAAGTGGATGTGGCGGAAGCTGTGAAGATTACAACGTTAGTGGCACGTTTCCTGGAGAACACCAAGCGTCAACGTGCAGCTTTACAACTCTACAAAGAGTTGGTGACACTATTGGACTTCATCGAACAGGAATTTAAATCATCAAGAGCCTCAATATACGATAAAACACGAAAGAAGTTCGATCACTGGATTAAATCAGCATTTCTTTCTCTTGCTGAAGTCAATTTACATTTGGGTGAGTATAATGAGTCAAAGATATATGCTGAACTTGCTCTTGCTAAAAGTAGAAAAACTGGCAGCAAAGAGACAGAAAAGTTATGTCACCAAATAATGTGTCTATGTCTGGCTTTTGGTTGTCACCAACATGACCTAAATACTGAATGTCTAAAAGAAATGCTCTCAGTTACCAAGGAATCCGGCGATATAGAGACAGAAGCAATTGCCTACTATCTTCTTGCCCTAAGTCATGCTCACGTTGGTCAGATGGAAGAGGTAGCAGAGTTTCTAGTGGAATCAATTCAAACGAGTCAGAAAGGTGGTTACAGGTGGTTAGAGGTTAAATGCCTAATCACACTAGCACTTGTAGTGCTTTTGCCAGGCCAGAAAAATAAAGCGTTTCAGAAACTTGAGGAAGCTCTTGAAATAAGCGAAGAAATTGGAGACATTAGGTGGAAAGCCAGTGCTCTTTTCGCTTTAGGGAACGCTCATTTTGCTGATGGTAGGTACGAAGAGGCAAAGAAGTTTTACGAGAACTCACTGCAACTCGATGCAAAATTGCCTCAAATAGGAATATGGATTTATATTAGGCTCGGTACTGTTCTTGTTGAATTTAAACAATTTGACGAAGCCATAAAGCTTTTACACAAAGCCCTTGAAGTCTGGGAAGAGGACAAACCAGTATACCAGACCTTAATCTGCAGGGACGAAATCTTCGTCGCACTCTGTCATCTACATCTACTTCTTGGTCAACCGGAAAAAGGTACTGAGTATGTAAACAAAATATTAACAGGAAGTTGGTACGAGGGGAAGCATGTATCTCTTAGTCACCTAGGTGCCTACCTTACTGCACATGGACACTTTGAAGAGGCATGCAACATCCTGGCTGAAAGCATCAAAAGTTATGAAAACTATATTGAGTCTTTAAATGACGAGTCCAAACTTTCTGTACGAGACGGAGAAGACAACATCGTGATTTACCACCAACGCTGCTCTCTGCTACTCGCTCTTGGTAAGTTTGCCGAGGCTCTATGTACAACAGAGCAAGGTCGTGCCCATGTATTGACAGAACTGTTGGTAAAGAAATACAGGATCCACGAAAAGGCCAAGTTTAGTGAAACGGAACTCAATAGCCTTATGGTTAGTTTGGCGAAAAGACAAGTTATAGTTTATTTTGGCTCTGGTCTCAAAGACAGCATCTTCTGGATAGTGAAAAATGACTTTGGTCCGAAATTGGAGGCGATTTCCCAAGAGAAAGCCAAAGTTGATACACTCCTTGAAGCCAACTCCAGGTCACTTTTTTGCAGTCGAAACGTTAACTGCGAGGACCGT